TCTGGTAGTTGCAGTCCAAAACTCCTGAGTAACCCAAGGTTAAGAACCAGTGATCTAAATTACCATGGGGTTTTTTGTTGTTTTTGTTGTTGTTTCTTTTAATCATTGTTGCTGTTTATAGAACCAAGCTTCAAAAGAACTGGATACCAAACAGCAGTCTGAAATCATGCCTAGGTGTGAAATGCAACCAAATCCCATTGCCCCTTTATTTTAAAGCTTTGCATGAACTTTTTACCATGTAGCCTCTGTATTCTGTCTCATATGTCTGATGAAGTGGGCATATTCCACAAAAGCTTACATTAAAATGTAACAGTCCTTATGGTGGCAGGATATCTTTTTTTTCCCCTTTTGGTTTGTGTTTCTTTTTGATACAGTTGCACAGACTAACGCAGCTACGACTTCAAAAACTACAATTTAAAAATGAAAGTATCTTCATGGGGATACAGTTACTTCGTTGGTACAACGAGTAATGTTTGCTAGTTATTCTTTAAAAGTAACATTTTAAGTCTGGTAGTTGCAGTCCAAAACTCCTGAGTAACCCAAGGTTAAGAACCAGTGATCTAAATTACCATGGGGTTTTTTGTTGTTTTTGTTGTTGTTTCTTTTAATCATTGTTGCTGTTTATAGAACCAAGCTTCAAAAGAACTGGATACCAAACAGCAGTCTGAAATCATGCCTAGGTGTGAAATGCAACCAAATCCCATTGCCCCTTTATTTTAAAGCTTTGCATGAACTTTTTACCATGTAGCCTCTGTATTCTGACTCATATGTCTGATGAAGTGGGCATATTCCACAAAAGCTTACATTAAAATGTCCTTATGGTGGCAGGATGTCTTTTTTTCCCCTTTTGGTTTGTGTTTCTTTTTGATACAGTTGCACAGACTAACGCAGCTACAACTTCAAAAACTACAATTTAAAAATGAAAGTATCTTCATAATGATACAGTTACTTCATTGGTACAACGAGTAATGTTTGCTAGTTATTCTTTAAAAGTAACATTTTAAGAGGCTTTTAAAATGCATTTTCACAATAAAATTTCAATTTCTGCAATTAACCTTGAGACCTGAGTGAAAAAGAGAGAGTGTAGAATGAGAGGAGCTGTATCTGGGTGTAAAATTCTGCTTTCCCAGCAAAGAAAACGGCTGCCAGCCAAAGCATTTGCCTAGAATTACCTGGGATCATGGGAAAGGATGGGGCCGTTGCAGGTAACCTAATCAGGGACTGTTTTCAAACCATGGCACCATGGTGGAATTTGAAGCTCTAATAACAAGCACCAAGCAATATGTGCAGTTCTGATTCCAGTCAGCAGAGAGCATGGGAATACAATATTCCCTTCCAGACTTTCCAGCGGAACAACAAAAGTCACAGGGAACCTTGAAAGACTTTGAATTTTTACTGAAACATAGGCTTTTAGGAAACAGAGGGTCAGGGTGGGCAGCTGTATACCTCCAGATGTTTCTGGCCCTGTAAGGCCAATCCTCTCTATCCAGCAGAGCCCACGATGAGAGATGGTGGGCCCTGCTGTTAGGAGACATCTCAAGGGACTCGGTTGCCGACCATGTTCTCAAATCATGGAAACAGATTGTGTGTGTTGTCGTTTGGTCTCCCTCTCTCTCTCTCTTTCCAATCTCCTCTGGAGACCTGTTCTTGCCTGGTCCCTGTGAGAGTCGTAGCCGCTGCGTTCTCAACAGAAGTTAGGGGTGCTAGACCCCCGTGTAGTTCAAAATCCATATTTAACTCCTATGCCCCCAAAACATAATTACAAAGTACAAACAGTTGATTCACACACACACAAACGTGTTGGAAGAAATGTGGCATATGAATAAAACGAATAAAAAATAATAATAAGCCCGAGACCCACTTTTCTC